TCTTTCCCTGGGTCTTTTGACATGATACTCAAGCAGCAGGAGTCATTTTTTAACCATCGGAGTGCCAGGACTGAGGCCTGCAGTGGGCTCTAGAATTCTCGTCAAGTAAATATATAATACTATGAGGTGTTACATCTTTATTATGCCAAAAATACAAACTTAGCCTTCATGTTTCAAAACTTTTTAGAAGTGTTCACATAATATTTGTTTTCAGAGTTAACATATTGCTTTATTTAGTGTTTTTCTACCCATAATTTCTACTACATGTTCAGAGTTAGACGTTGAGTATTAAAATTCTGTAACAGTAGTTACTAGAGACACATAAAAGTAATTAGATTAAAAATGCATCTTAATTCCAAGATAAGAATCCTAATCATTTAACTTTTTTCAAACGCCAAGTAACAGAATGTTTTTGTTAAATAAATAATAAGTAGTGAGCTCCATTGTGATTTTTTTCCCCAGTTTTAATACACATTAATGTTAAACTTAATTTTTTATGATCAAGTAGAGTCATCTGACATACTGAGGTTTAACTAATTTTCTCTTTTCAGATCATTAGTTTGTTAAATGTGTTTACGCCACAAAAAACTCTAGAAGAATTTCAAGATGTGTAAGTATTATTTTTATTCAGTAATGCACTATGCATTGAAGACTGAAAATTGAGAAAGGAAAGTAACTGCTTTTTTTTCCTTAGGAAATGTAGGTAGCAATACATTTTTAATATCTTAGTCACTTTTCTCTGTGGAAGAGAAATATTAAGGAAATGGATAATAATATTCGGCTATTTGTGCCTGGATGGTTATCATCCCCATAACAAATAAAAGGTGACTAGGAGTAATTCTTCAGAGCAGACAGTGACCATTAATGCCACTGATTTGCTTTCTTGAAATATAAAGTGTTTTTCTCCAGTCTCTTGAAAGCCAGGATTGTAGGGTTCAGGTGTTTACAATTATTATTTGAAATGGAAAGACTTCACTGTATTGGTGACATTTGAAGAAAGCCTTGAAGGAGGTGAGGGGTGAGTCCTGCAGATATTTGAGGGAAGATGGAATTGAGAAAGAAGGAACAAGCAGTGCAATGGTGCAGAAGTGGGAGCCTGCCTGGTGCGTTCTAAGGACAGCAAGAGGCCAATGTGGCTGGAGCAGGCGGAGCAGAGGAGAGACGAAGTGGGCTCAGGGCAGTGATAGGGCCATTGTAAGGATTACTCTAAAGCATGGTCAATAACATTTTCAGCAGAGGCCTGAGTTTATCTGCCTTGCATTTGAAAAGAATAGCTTCGGTTTCTGGGTTGAGAACCCCCCACAAGGCATGAGGACACACGAGACCAGTTGGGAGGATATTGCAGTAGTTCAGGTGAGAGATCATGGTAGCACCATTGAGACCCAATGGGGTGATTATAAGGGTAAAGGGAAGAGACTGGACACAAACTGTTTGGAGGTAGAACCATGATGTTTGCTTAGAGAGGAAGTATGGTGTGAGAGCAGGAGTTGAGACTGATGCCTGGGTTTTGGTTTGAGCCCCGGAAGGGTGAGAGTGCTCTCAGCCCAGATGGGTAGGGCTGCAGAAATAGCAGGTCGGAGGCTGGGGTGGAATCAGGGACTCAGTTTTAGACATGACTTCTGATGTCAGTTGGACACCCCAGTGGAGCTATGAAGTGAGCTGTTAGATAAATGAGCCTGGAAAGAGGCCTGGGTTGTTGGTATGAATCTGGGGTTCACTGTCTATAGATGGTATTTAAAGCCTTGAGACCAGAGACCAGAGGAGATCACCAAGACCGTGACAGTTAGTGATGAGAAGAAGGCCAAGGACTGAGCACTGACTGTCCAACAGTAAGAAGTTGGAGAAAGCTGGAGAGCACGATCAGCCAGGACTTAGCAACATGGAAGCCTCTGGGGACCTTGAGGACAGTTTCAGCAGCGTGGTGGGAGCAAGGGCCTCAAAGTGGGATTAAGAAAAAGTAGGGGAAGAACTGGAAATGGTGAGCATGGACACCTTCTTAGGGAGTTTGCTTACAAAGGGAATAAAAATGGGGTAGTTGCTGGTGGGGAAAGTGAGGTTGAGTTTTCTTTTTTTTTTTTGAAAATTTATTTTTTAATTACAGTTGGCATACAATATTATATTAGTTTCAGGTGTACAACAGTGGTTAGACATTTATATAATTTATGAAGTGATCCCCCAATAAGTCCAGTACCATCTGATGCCACACATAGTTATTACAATAGTATTGACTCCCTGTGCTGTACTTTACATCCTCAGGGGTCAGTTTCTTAAGATGAAAGAAATAACAAAATGGTTTCTATACTTGTAAGAATGATCCAATAGCAAAAAATTTAAGATGTAGGAGAATTTGGATGTTTGAGATTCTGTTTACTACGATATAAAAATTGTTGTGTTCTTCACTTGAAAGACAATGTATTGTTAGTTATTTTTCTTTTGAAAACCTTACAAAGTTCCATTATCCATTTATTTCTTTTAAAGCTACCTTATAAAATGTTTAAAGGAAAACAAGTTATCGTTTTACTTTAGCCAATGCATTAACTGGGTTGGTAAGTTAATACTGTTTCATAAAAAAATCGAGTTTAATAACCATAAAGGAATTCTGGATAATTTTCATGTATACATGGCTGATCTTCTTTTCCCTCAGGTACTTGGTTATGGAATTAATGGATGCTAACTTATGTCAGGTTATTCATATGGAGTTGGACCATGAAAGAATGTCCTATCTTCTTTACCAGATGCTCTGTGGTATTAAACATTTGCATTCAGCTGGTATCATCCATAGAGTAAGTAACGATGCCATGTTAATTTTATTTTTAAAATCACAATCATTTTGTTGGCATAATCCTCTAGATATAAAAGAAATTTGTCAGTGTTAGAAATCCAAATAAACTATGGGAATGTGTTGAGTTTCCAGACATTGTTGAGACGAGAAGACATTTGTAGAATACCTGGTTGGCCCAGCCCATGCCAGCCACCCAAGATACAGGCAGGAGCCAGGGCTCAACTTGATACTGCAGAAGAATACTTAAAATTAGAGAAAACTTACAAGAATTAGACAAAGAACTTCCAAATACCATAAACTCATATTCGCCTATTAATATTTCTGCCATATTTGAAACCCCATTATTAATGAATCAAGGGATTAGATTTGGGCTGGGGGAAAGTTAAGAGGCCATGTAGATAGAGTTGCTTGTGAAATCTTCCATAAATTATGGCCCAAATATTCGTTTCTTCTCTTGTAAAATTCTGCCACTCTGGCATCCTAGCCCCAGTGGTGGGAGCTTTTGGAATGGCCCTGGGTGGGCCCCTTGTTGGACTGAGGCTGGGTGTGAATGACAGATGCCTGTGCTACTGCGAAGTAACATGTAAAAATCGGGAAGCTGCAATGTAATTCTCTTATTAAGAGATTTAATAAGCATGTTAGATGAGCTTTTATTTTTTGACTTGTACCACTGCATAAGCAGAACATCATGACAGAATTTTTTTAAAACAAGTAAAATGTTGAATGAGATTAGGCAGAAATAATATAATTTTATTGGAATCATTCATAGCATTCCCTGAATTATTACCATACCAATTTTGTTGACAGACTGTCTTTACATACTATGTTTCAACATCAAGAAGTTATCATTTCTCGGAACTAAAATCTGTATGGAGAGGAAGATAGACGAGAACAATGAAGCCTTTTCATACAGAGAAGAATAGATTTTCGATGGTGTAGCAGATCGGTTAGGTGCCAGGAAAGATCGGTACCATCATAGCCACCAAATGGAGGTTTCCTGTGGCGGCAGAGCCCACCAATCCAGAGAGGGCTCAGCCCTTGTCCCTCACTGTCTGCAGCTGGAGGCCAGCATGGCAGGGGCATCCTGGTGGTACGAGAGCCTGTCCCCTGGCCTGGCCTGCTAGCTGATAAGCGCTTGGCTCCTGACCGGCGTGGCATTATGTGAAATACAGCCTTTGCTGCCACCAAGTGTTCAGTTAAAATAATACAAATTCTGTTGATAAATTTGCTTTAAAAATAATGCTATTTTTAATTAAAAAGAAAGATTTCCCAACATATTGTTCTATTTCTCTTCTTAAAATTTTCATAGACGTTTATATAAATGAAGGCACTCTTAATGTCTCTTAAATACATTTTGTATTAAATTCACGCTTTAGAATAAGTGCCTCGATTAGTAAGCTTATTATGTTAAACCTTATTAATTAAGTAAAAGGAAACAGTTTGCCTTGTTTTTCCCCTCTTGGGCCCAGATAACATGCCATCCTCCCTATCCTGAGACCTGGTAGGAGCTGCAGGCCACACATGCCTGTGTCCAGGACTATGTGGTCCCTGTACCTTGGGCCTACTCCTGCTGACCACAGGTCAGATATGGCCGAAGACGTGTTTGCTTTGCCCAGCATGGTGTTTAGAAACCTGAGAAGACCTGAGCAAATGATCCCATGGATCTCCGCTTTATTCTGTTCTCACCTTTGCGGGCCTGCCAGCCCCTCTGATTGGAAAGTAGCATGCTGTGGAAAAGGCCAATAAAGCAAATAGTGAAGGGCCCCTGCATGCCCTCCTCACCCACCCTTCCAGGTCTTCAGAGGCGATGAACACCTGGATTGTGTTAACCTTCTCCATCCTTCGGCCTATATACAATACCACACACAGAGATACACACTTTCAATTTTGCTTATCAAAATGGTTTTATACTAAGCATAACATTGTAATTATTTGAAAAACACCCATACTACCACCACTTTTAACTTTATATTATTCAAAAAACTAAAAGAAATGAGAGTCCTCCAGCCCTCCACTGTCACCTGGAAGTAGCCAGTAAGCACTTGGGGTGTTTCCTTCCTTCCTTTACACTGACACCAACTTCCTACTTAAGCTGATACCAGTACAGCTGTTTATACTTATGTCCTTTTTAACTTATATTTTTCAAAAACAGGATCATTTTGTACATAATTGTCCTGCAACTTGCTGAGTGAGTTGGTTGATTCGTTTTTTATTTTAATCAAGTTTCAACTAGTTCTACAAATATTTATTTATTTTAATTAGTTTCAAGTATATAGTACATTAGTTAGACATCTATATATAGACATCTACATAGTTCATAAAACGATCCCCCCAATTGCTCCCCACCTCCCCTGACCCTCTACCTAGCCAACATATTAATGCTAACTGCATTTCCTCTGCCGTGCTCCCCATCCTCATGACCATCCATCAGCTACTAATTTGTACTTCTTTAACCCTTCACCCCATTCTCCTATCCCCCCAACTCCTCATCCCCTCTGTCCATCACCAGATTGTTCTCTATATTTGTGAGTCTGTTTTTGATTAGTTTGTTCTTTTTATTCCTTAGATTCTGCGTATAAGTGAAATCATATAGTGTTTATCTTTCTCTGACTTAAATACCTTCTAGGTCCATTCCTTTCTTTTTAGTCTGTGTGTCTTTTAATCTGAAGTGAGTCTCTTATAGGCAACATGTAGGGATCTTGTTTTCCTTTCCATTTATCCACTCTATCTTTTAGTTGGAGCACTTCTTTTCCATTTGAGGTACTTATTAATAGGAATGTAGTTGTTACCATTCTTTATTCTCAGTTTTGATACATGTTTTTTCTTCTTAAAGAAGTCCCTCCAACATTTCCTGTAATACTGGCTTGGTGGCGATAAATTCCTTTAGCTTATTTTTGTCTGGGAAGCTCTTTATCTGTCCTTCAACTCTAAATGATAGCTTTGCTGAATAAATTATTCTTGGTTGTAGATCCTGGGTCTTCATCCTGTCGAATATTTTTTGCCAAGCCCTTCCGTCCTGCATAGTGTCTTTTGAGAAATCAGCTGCCAGTCTTATGGGTGCTCCCTTGTCGGTAACTATCTTCTTTTCTCTTGCTGCTTTTAATATTCTTTCTTTGTGTTTAACCTTTGGCATTTTAATTATGATGTGTCTTGGCATGGGCCTCTTTGGATCCCTGTTTTTTGGGGATTCTCTGAGCTTCCTGGGGTCTTATGTCCATTTTCTTCACCAGGTTAGGGAAGTTTTCCATCATTATTTCTTCAAACAGCTGTTCAACATCTTGTTTTCCTTCAGGTACGCTAATCAGATGGATATTTTGTCTCATATACTCCTTAAATTATTTTTATAGTCTTGGCATCTTATCTCTTGCCATTCCGATTGAGTGTCCTTGGCTTTCCCCTCCTCTAGATAGGGCAATTGATCCTTTTCTTTATTCACTTTGTTTATTCTTTTGTTTATTCCATTTAATGTACTTCTCATCTTAGATAATGTTTTTCATTTCAGACTGGTTCTCTTTTATAATTTCCATTTCCATTTTTATGTTTTTTATCTCTCTATTGAAGTTCTCACTGAATTTATCTACGCTTCCCAAAAGTTCATTGAGCATCTTTATAACCAGTGTTTTGAACTCTGCATCTGTTAGATTACTTGACAACATTATATCTGGATCTCTGTTCTGTTCTCACATATGGTTTCTGCTTCTTTGTCTTCCCATTTTGGCTGCCTTTCCATGTCTTTCCCCAAAGTTCATTGAGCATCTTTATAACCAGTGTTTTGAACTCTGCATCTGTTACATTGCTTGACTCTATTATATCTGGATCTCTGTTCTGTTCTCTCATATGGTTCTGCTTCTTTGTCTTCCCATTTTGGCTGCCTTTCCATGTCTGTTTCTATGTACTCAGCAAAGCTCCTAAGTTTCCTGGTCTTGTTAGTGTGGATTTGTGAAGTAAGTGTCCAGTGGCATAGTCCTGAGAGGGGTTCAGCTGCAGGCCACACTTAGCCCAAGCCTCTACCCCTCCAGGGCCACATGTTAAGATTCAGTAAGCAACCCACAGATGCTGTGCTTATAGTGGCCTCAAAAGGCCACGCCAGAAACCAAGACCAGCTGCCTCCAGTGTGAGTCTAGTCATTGCTCAGCAAGGAACACCTAACTCACTGAGGATATACCTGGATGTGGCTTGGGTGGAGCCATGATTTGAGGGAGGCGGGGTTTCAGTGAAGCCTCTGGGCAGAATGACCTCTATTATCCAGTTTGATGATGTGATGGCTATGGCGGCGCTGTGTCTGTGCACTGGGAGCGGGGAGGGCTCAACAGGGCACATCTGTACAGAGCAAGTCTCGCCTCAGCTTTCACTCCAACACTATCTCCCTGTATGTTCCTGGTGCTCCCTGCACACAGCCGAATCGGCACTGGTGCTCAGAGCGAGCAGGTCCGTCACTGCAAAAATATGCTTGTGGACACAGCCCCTTTCAGAGGCATCTGCCACTGCCGCTGCCACAGCCTCTGTCTCAGCCACTCAGGACTGGGCAGCCCCACGTCCTCACTCTGTCCTACCTTCTGCCGTTGCAGGGTGATTTCTTGGATTTCTCCCTAGTTGTATGGTTTGTTCATCTAGATCCCAGGTGATTTTTCCTTGCTACTTGCTCCTTGTTTCCGTCACAACTTTGATTTGGTCACCAGAGGGATGAACATTTTTCCCCCTCCTTCTACAAATATTTATTTTTTTAAAAAAGAGTCCTCACTTCATTCCCTTTTCTCTTTTATTTCACTCTTCCTAGAAACAAACCTTTTAGGTCTTTTAGCCATTGTTTTAGTATTTATCTCCATGTCTTAATATGATTAGATCTCTATTAGTTGACTTTTTAAAATTTGGAGCATAGGATACTGATTTAGTTCTCTTTCACCAACTGTGACCCTCACTTCCCTGTTCCCCAACAAACCCAGTATTTACAGTGTTACTGGTTTTTGATCCATATCCATATTATATTTTACATCATCATGACCGTATAAATGCTTTCCATAGCCCAGCCATACATTTATACCACAAATAAATTTCTTTTCTTTTCACCATTTTATCAGTGGAGTTAACAACACTTGTCTTCTACTTGTTTGAGTTTTGTCGTCATTGTTTTAGTTTTCAAGGAGGGAGCAGTTTTCGGTGTTCTTATAGCCGATTTGACCCTAAACTTTCTGCCGGGCATCTGAGGCTTCTCCCAGTGCATCCAAATGTGCTAGCCATTTCATCAGTTTCATTGTTTCCTGTGCTCCCTCCCACAGTCTCAGCCCTGCCGCCCCTCTGCTCTTCAGTTACAGGTGTTTTGTGTGATCTTGGATGCTACCCAAGGAGGCGACTCTGTGGTTCTGGCCCCCAGATTTGTTGGTTGTATTTTGACGTGTGTTTCTGGTTTTCCTTGTTTTGGATGACTTTTAAGATTTGAAGGGGCAGAACTGTTTTTATCTTGAAGCTACAAGTTCAATTCATCCTGGAAAGCTGCCTCTGGTTGTGTGTGGAACTGATAGGAGAGTGGCCGAGCATGTGGGGGCCTTTGGGGCCTGGGACCTCTTTAACCACCTCCTCGGGGCCACTAGGAGGACAGTTCCCTCTCCCATTCCTGCCAGGATGACCCTCCCCATTGTAAACAGCCCAGTTTGCATTTTATCATAGTTTTTCAGCAGGTGGCAGTAAAGTGTGTTGTTCCAACAAAATCAGAGCAAGCCAAGGACTCTGATAGGTGCAAGTGACAGGGATGAGCGTGTTTCCTAATTCACTTGGGTTCGGTGAGCTGGCCAGGTGCTGCTCTGTCCCCTTCATTCATGTGGCTCTGCTTTCGTTCCCAGCCAGGTTGGTTTGCATGGCTGCTGGATGGTAAAGTGGAGATAGTTCAGATTTTTAAAGTATCACCTTCTAGAAAGGAAGCACCCGCTGCCGTCCCCACAACTGTGTCAGGGGCTTCCCCATCACCACTGGATATTGCTGTTCTTCTCGTCGCCACAGGAGAGACTAAAACCGGTTTCTAGTCATTTGGAATTCTAAAGTAATTTTTTGTGTGTGAAGTTAGCATTTTACCTTTTAGTAGTTTGTATTCTAAAATACCTATTCTTTCTATATTCTTTGATTTTAAAAAAGGAAGCTGGAAGCCAACACTGGCTTGCTTTCCCTTGTACTGAATGGCAAATGCACATGGGGTTGGGGTGAGGGTGCCCCCAGGACTCCCCCACAGTGAGGCACACAGTGCTCAGGGCATCTCTTGGGGCTTGGTGGGAATTTTCACCACGTTTTTAAGTCATATGTTTGTAATTTCCATTTTCCCGAATCCAGGAAATTTAGAAAGAGAGCATTTATCAGTAATAAAATAGAACGTTAGCTGTCGTCATTTTTAAATGGTTCTCTGCTCATCCCAGTGACACTTTGCAGCACCACGTGCCTACTTGCAGCACATCAGTTGGAAAGTTTTAAGTGGGTGCTGGGTCTAGTTCTCCTGGGTCCTCCTCTGTGCTGTGACTTGGCAGTTTGACACAGCAGCTACACATTGGAAAACTTGTGAAAAGAATAGACTTGGATTGTCCAGAAGTCACAGCTTCTGGGGCGACTTTGCAGGCTGGCATCTCCGGGCAAAAGTTGGATTCCTGGGGCCTGAGGAGGGGTGGGGTTTGGAGATGGGCATGAAGAAAGGCCCCAGAGTTATGAGGGAAAAACTGTAGGAGTTGAGTTCAAGCATCGAGCATGGTGGAGTGTGTGATATGTGTGCTCCTCAGCAAGCAGCTTCTGCTCGTCCATTCTGTCAAGCTCTGTGCTGAGAGCCGGAGGCACAGGGGGGCCTCCCCTCACAGAGCCACACTGGGAAGCACTGGAGACATGGCAGGGATGGTGGGTCCCAGGGGAGGGTGTGGGTAGGGTGGGTAGGGTGCTGGGGTTGGTGATCATGGTGGAATTCTTCTTCCAAGGAATGAAAGAGCCATGTCCAGGGTCAGAATTCTAGTGCCCTGCCATCCAGTAGCGTAGCCACCAGTCACATTAGGCTGTTGAGCACTATAATTGAATGCGACAGTACTGAAAAAAGAATGTAAAATAGCTCATTAATAATTTCTATATGTTGGTTACATTTTGAAATAATAATACTGTCAAACAAACTCAAAAAGAGTCTAGAGGCTTTGGCTAGAAATAAACGGTAGATTTATTCAAGGGTCTTAGAGTTTGCACACTAGGAACACCACTAGGCCAAAACCCAGAGGTGTGCCAAAGAAGAGAGAAAAGTTAAGCATTCTCACAGTAAAAGTGCATTCTTGAGAATAATCAGCCCTGTGTTCTCAGCCCTAGGATTGGTCTAGGGTAGTTATCACCCACATGATGGGTGCCAGGAGGTCTGGTTCTATCCATGGTCTGGATAATGGATGTCAGGTGGCCTGGATATGTGAATCCTTCAGGGAGTTACCCAGAGGTCTTGTGTGTGTCCAAGATGTGTATCCAGGCATTGACACAGGACTAAAAAGTTCAAAAAGTTTAAGTTCACAGACTACTTAGAACAAGCATAGAGCCTTGTCTCATGCCTTGTTAATAATTTTAACAGCTTGGTTAAAGTGACTCCATTTTATATAGTCCCTGTCTTCACTGTTTCTTCAGTGCTATGGATATATAGGATTAAATAAAGTATATTATTAAATTAACTTTGTTTTTATTCACTTTTTTTAGGGCAGCTGCTGGAAGATGTAAATTATGTCTTTTGGACTGTGGGGAAGAGCCAGTGTTGGGAACGGAAGGGTGACCAGGCGCCAAGGGAGAGTGGGCAAGAGGGGTGGTGTGGAAGCTCTCAGAAGGTTTTAAACAGAAAAATCTTGAAGGTTTTTCCGTGGGGCTAAGGGCAACCATCAGACCTCTTCAGGATGATCTGTATTCATTTCGGTTTGAGAATAGGATTTTCTGAAGTCGTTCCAAAATGCCAAGGTTCAATTCCATCTTTTCTCTTTCTGCTGCCACTCTTGTATACTGCAGTAGTTGCTGACCTCACGGGTCCTTGTCAATGCAAGACTGTTTTTAGCATGCTTTGGTTCATTTTCTTCATTTAAACTATTTCATTCCTAGGATTTGAAACCTAGCAACATTGTAGTGAAGTCAGACTGCACCCTTAAGATCCTGGACTTTGGCCTGGCCCGGACCGCATGCACCAACTTTATGATGACTCCCTATGTGGTGACACGGTATTACCGGGCGCCCGAAGTCATCCTGGGCATGGGCTACAAAGAGAATGGTGAGTACAGACATGGCTGGAAGAGGCTGAGATGTTTAAAAGTCGTGCTATTGGTCATCACTATTTTTTTTCTTTTTTCTGTGACTTATATGAAATATAACATGGGGACTGTGTTATGCATAGGTTATCATAGTCCACAGATAAGAAATAATTAACTTTATATTTCCATTAGTGAAAATCATTCACTTTTGAAATAAATATTTTTGAATATTTATCAAAGTATGACATACTTATAGAAAAGTATGCAAATCTCAAGTGTGCACTTGACAGGAGTGCATCCACATAAACCAGCACTGCCCGAGGCCTCCCCAGGGCCCCCCCAGCTCTCAGCCCCCAAGGGAAGCCATGATCCTGATTCCTAGCACCATGGATTGGTTTTACTTGTTTTTGAACTTTATATAAATGGAATAATACAAAATATTCTCTTTTACGTAAAATCAGTTTTTGAACATCAAAACTTCACTCATTCTAGCAATCTCAGAGCTCTTTCAAACTTAGCTTTTGACAGATTTGTCAAAAAGAATGAAATCACATTTAGTTGTTTAAAAAAAGTCTGAAAGTTTGCCCCAACATCTGAAATGAGCTCTGCTTCAGGTTTATTTAAACGTTCTGTGACCCATGTCCCCACTCTGAGAGACAGCTCTGTGGGCTTCTGTTGTCCCCTGTGGAAGAGACAAAAACTATGATTCCTGGTTAGCTTCTCCCACCATGTCCCCACCATCAGGAGCACTAAATAGCCCTCTCTCTGCCTGGCTCTCTCAGGCCTTAGGTTCAGCTGATTCAGAGGTGTGAGGTCCGTGCTTTACAGAAGCTCCCTTTGGCAAGTTGGGTTTGTCCTTGTATGGGAGGGGGTTTGAGGAAAGACGTGGCGTCTCCTGCTGGTTTTAATCACCTGGTGTTTGGTAGTGGACATCTGGTCTGTCGGGTGCATCATGGCAGAAATGGTCCTCCATAAAGTCCTGTTTCCAGGAAGAGACTGTATCCTTCACAGGGAAACCCTGCGCTGGCCACAGGGCCGGGGCAGTGGCCATGTGGCCTGAAACAGCTTTGTGTGGACAGGCACTTCTTGTTTCTGGGGTTTCATTTGCTTTTTCAAGTATCAATATCTTTGGCACTAAAACCCTAGATTGCTGCAAACTGGTGGCTACAACAGAGCTCAGCAATCATTCATACCGTGTGAAGTTCACCCTTAGAGCAGTTTGTTCTTCCACATCTGTGTGTTTAGTGCACTGTTAGAATTCCTTTCCTCACCTTTGTTTTGTTCATGGCACTTTATAATTTTATCATTTCATTTTATTTTCAGTTGATATCTGGTCAGTGGGTTGCATCATGGGCGAGCTGGTGAAAGGTTGTGTGATATTCCAAGGCACTGACCGTATCCTTCCCGGGACCTTCCCGGCCATGCTTCCTATAAACGCCAAAGGCAGCAGGAGTGCAAAAGGAAAATGTCGTAATTCCAGACTGTGTTTTAAGGGGGCTTTATTATGTTTGTTAAATTAGTGTCACACAGCAAATGGTTCAATTTTACATCTTCTTTTTTACTTGACTACCTGTAATGATTTTATTGAAGCTTAGAATTAAGTTAAACCAATTACATTAGGTCTTAATTTTATCAAAAATAGCTTATAAAAATTTATTTACTCTTTGACAAATGTATTCTGACATTTAAATGAAAAGACTGTTTATTTAGTTCATTGAATTAATTTAACTAGGCAAGTTGCTATTTAACTTTAATAGGCCACTATTCTTGTATAATTCAATTAATAACTATTTTGTTAGTTATTAAATTAAAGTATGCATTAAATACTTTCCCCCAAAGTAAGAACTGAAGTAACACTGCATAAAACCAAAATGAAAAAGGTTAAAATGAAAGTTTGGGAGGAACGATATTTAGTTAATTTTCTTATTTGTTACTCTGCTGACATTTCGTAGAAATTTTTAAAAGATCCATCCAGAAGGTTATTTTGTGACACACTGGGAAATCTAAATAAATAAAAAATGCAAAAAGATTAACTTATCCTATGGTCAGGAAATCATATTAATGACATATAGTGTGAAGGAGAATAGATAATATAATAGATATAGTAGCTTTCTTTCCTCATATTCCTCATATTCTTCCATCATTAATATGTTTTACTCTAACATGGTTCTTCGCATATGCCCTTTTTCATTTGTGTTCTAACCACTTAATATTTTCATTAGTCTTTGATTTTGTTTTGTTATGAATGCTTAAAGTGGTCTCTGTTCATTGGTAGATTGATGGTTATTTTTAAAGGAAATCAAGCTGTGTAGTCAGTGTTCGTATGTACTTTATTTAAAGTAACTTTAGTTTTTTATAATTTTATGAGGGTGGTTTCTTATTATATAAATTCTTCACAACACAAACTTGGAATGAAAAGAGTTTTTTCCTGCTATTTGATGTACCGTCCTCTACATTTTCTGCATCCCAGATTTTATATGAAGTTAAATGCATCATTTTATTTTCTAATAAATTTTCTAGCAGTTTTCCATAGCTTACCTTAGATTCACTTCTTTCAAACTGTAAGTAAGGAGGCCTTTGTTTACAAATAAACTCAGTTAAAAACAGAAAAGTTGATGTATTCTAAAGATAAATAATTTAGAAGCATCTATTTAACATTCAGTTTTTCAATTCTTATTCATTTTGTGCCTTTTTTTTATTAGGAAATGTTTTCTTTAGAAAGTACAAAAATGAAAAATGCGGGTACCTTTTGGTGCTTCGTTAAGTAATTTAAAATTTCTATTTTACATATTAACATCTTTCAGTGTCAGTAATTAATAGTTATATATATAAAGTCGGAACACATACAGAGATTAACATCACTTTCCAAAGATAATTTTGCCAACTTTTTCAAACATTAGATTAAAAATTACTGGGATAGAAAGATTCTGGAAACCAGACTGCAGTTCCATAGATTTTCTTTAGATTTGTGACCCAGGGTAGAGAAGAAACTCCTGTCTCCCCCCGCCGCCTCCTTGCCCCTGCCGCCCATGGCCTGTAAGGAAGAGAAAGCTTTAGCCAGTCCACCTTGGGCCCAAGTTCTGACCCTCACGTGGTGACTGTGTGACCTTGAGGAGTCAGGCCTCCCTGAGCCTTGGTTCCCGTTTGGTATAATGAGAGCACAACAGTGCTTTTGCACATCAGGGCTTATTGGAACTGTCTTCCCCGGCCCACCCCCCTGTAGTCTATAGAC